GTGTTGTTCAGCATGGGGGTGAGTAGAAAACGAAGGCTAATCATGTTTTGGGTGTACTATTCCTTTAAGAACAATTTGGTCTCATGTGACCTGAGCAGGCTTGTTGCCAAATTCAAACAGGACATCTTGTGTCCATCTTCTCACTGCTCTTCCATAAAGATCACGTTTTTTTGTGTCAAATCATAACTTATGGTACAGAGAGATTCTTCCAGCTGAACTGGGAAGTCCTTCTAAATTTACCAGGAGCATCTTTGTTGCCTTTCTGATTCATCCTCTTCTCGCTGGCCTTTGTAATGTCTACAGTTGTGTTCTTCATTTTCCACAGGATGCTGTGTGCACAGTTCAAAGCTTTAGATATTGTTTCATAACCAGACCACACATTAAAAGTTCTCCCTGACTTATCTGCTGTGTTCCTTGGTCCTTTTGATGCTGTTTGATCTCTAATATCCTCCAACAAACCTCTAAGGCTTTTTCACAACAGCTGATTTTATAACGAGGATGAATCACACAGTGACAATGTGTTTCATACCTAGAGGACTTTTTACCCCTCATTTTTTATTTTTTTTTTAAAGGTTAAGGATTGAGGGTTGTGCTCTCCTAAAAATAGACAATCCATATCAATTAATAAACAATAAAAAAGAAAAATCCAAGTTACATATCTAAAACATTTATTTCTTTGCCTTAGCAGCGCTGTTGCATAGATGTGGACAGTCAGTAAACATGGAAGGTCCTTTCACACATACCTAAGTCTTTTCTTTTGGTTATCAAAACCAATGTATAAAGCATGTCTTTATGTGTTACGCTGCAATATTTTCACATGTCATCTGCACAGTGACAGGAAGCCGCTGCTCTGGAAATAAATAGAACATCCACACAAACACTCTGATCATAAACAAAAGGAAACACATCATCAATGCAATGCTTTTTGTGATATAAATAAGCCACTATTTACACAATTACACAAGTCAAACCTACCATTTCCAACAGTACTAACACATATTAGCCCTTAATTTAGGCTCAGCTTTTCATATTAGAGATTTATTAAGCTGACAGACAAATTGCAGTTAATGCCAACTTACTGTAGGCAGTCAGTAAGTTTGATAAATTTGGAGGTTTTATGCGCTGACAGTGTTAGCAGCAGTTAGGAGCGACGAGAACAAGGACTCAGGTCTTTGCTTCAGTACGTCTGGGGGGCCCAACTCTGCTGCCTGAAGGACACAAAACCGAATGAGCGAAGCTCTGGACTCATGTAGAGCATATCTTTGTATATTTAATACTAGGTTACCTTTCCATTATCCATGACCAGAATGCGGTCTGCGTGCATCACGGTGTTGATCCGATGTGCGATGGTGAGCATGGTGCAGTCCTGGAAGGCCTCTTTGATGGTGTTCTGGATCAGAGCGTCAGTCTCTGAATCGATGGAGGCCGTGGCCTCGTCCAGCAGGATGATCTGTCAGTCAAAGGACAGCGGATTAAACAAGAAGATGCTAAATTTTATATTTGCTTCTTTTAGATTCTCTATCTGTGGATATTAATTATTAGGTAAAGCCAAAAACTGACTGTCGTATTCTATTCCACTGCAATAAATAATTCCTTTTCTGATTCAACAGTATTTTGCAGCCTTTAAAAAGTTATTTTTTTATGTATTCCAACATGTTTTCTTTTGGCCTCTTTTAAAAAATCTCACAGTAAATGAGCTCATCAACTCTCAAAAGAATGTTGAAGATTGTTTATACTGACCTTGGAGTTACGAAGAAGTGCTCTAGCCATACACATTAGTTGTCTCTCGCCAACTGAGAAGTTTTCTCCATTCTCCAACACTTCAGCCTCTAATTTCCCCTCTAGCCTGATAATCTGAGGAAAGATTCATATTTAAAACAATATTTTTCATATTAGTTACTGCAAAGTTTGATATTATAGGTCTAGTCTTGTTAGTGTTGTTCCATCGCTCTGCATTTATTCCTGCAGTTTAGTCCGTCAACAAACTCCTATTAAAGCTTAGATTTTAAAAGATTCCTTCTTTCTGATAATGGTTTAGTTTGGGAAAAACACTTCCTATTATCTCTACAATCATGCTTTAAGATATTTGACACATTGAGGTTGTTAGATCAGGACTGGAGCCCGACTGGTTTTTACCTCCGCTTTATTTTTTCTTCATTTTGCCCCAAAATCTGCAGACATGTAAAAAAAAATGCAGCATAAAATGGGGCTCTCAGATCTTTGCTGCACGTTTCTTCTGTAACACTGACAGTGTGACATCACAGTAGTAGAAATAAACCCACTGATCCAGCTTCATCACATGGCCTTGCTTTTAGACTTGTTTCTGATTGCACTCCTCATGCTTCTTTACCTCTAAATCTTTCGAGGTGGTGTTCTCAAAGCCCTGTAATCTAAACACTGAATGAATCTTTCATCCATGCTGTCATTGCTGTTTTCACCCCCTCCCCTCCCCACAACCTTGGTTTTCCAGAAAACATCACTTCTTATTTTGTTTAATGACTTGCCAAAAAGCATGGTGCTTCATTTGGATCCATTTTTTTTAGTTCAATGGTTCTCAAACTGAATGAGATTAACAAGTTAATGCATTTTAAAATTATTATCCACTGGGAATTGGACTTTTTGTCATAAAACAAGAAATATAAATATATTAGTAAAAGTAAAAAAAGGTAAGTAAATACACAAGTTCTCAAGCAGAGAGTTCTCACCAACAGAAACCTCAACATCCAATATGGCTGCCACATGTTTTTGCAAAACAGAACTTTATTTACACATTTTGGTAGTTTGTGGAAACAAAAATGCATAAACAAGAGAGTCAACCTTTACTGGAATGTCTTCCTTCAGTGTTTAAAGTGATCAATTAAAAACACAAATATGGACTTGAAGGACGCCCAATAGGCTGGACCCAAATCCTAAGGAAACAGCACCCCACCCTAATCCCCTTTGAATCAAACATTACACAATTTACGTCAATTTACGTTAACACGGAAACTCCCAAATCCAAACATCAATCTGATTGTGAGACAGAGAGACACAATCCGTAATCCAGAGAAGACAACCCACCTTTTCTACAGTCCAGTCACAGCACACTGTACACCAGAGTTTTTCAACCCTATTCCTCATAGCCCATTGCCCTGCATGTTTTAGATGTTCTTTAGCACACCCGAATAAATGCAACATTCTACAGAAGCGGTAGATGTCTGTTGATCACCCACTCATTTAGGGAAGGTGCACAGAGACAGGAGAATATCTAAAACTTACTGGACATTGGGTCCTGAGCCCGGGGTTAAAGACCTCTCCATGCAACTACTTGATGATTTAAGGCTTTTTTGGAGCTGCTTGGCCACAGAGTGAACCTTTTATAGACTGTTCTTGAGCTAGACTGAACGTCAAATGAAGCTTGGAGGTCTGAGCAGACATGATCAACCTTTGCAATCTTTTCTGCATGCACTGAGCATGGTCTTCCACATTGTTATTGGGATGTGCCCATTTCTGATCACTTTTTTGTTATAATCCCAATAACAGTTGGCTGTGCGATATTTAGTGTTGGGATCTGGAGGTCTGTCCACCTTCCTCCAGCAGAGGGCGCCTCTGGGTCTCCTGGAGCTGAGCTGACGACCACACCTGCGATCCATCAGTCATCAGGAGACCAGAATATAAGCAGCAGCAGGACTACACTCCAGTGCCAGAGTGTTAAGCCAGTTATGGTTAGCAAAGCCTGAGCCAACCAGCCTGTCTGATTCTCTGACTCCCTTAAACTTTGAACTTGAACCTGATCAGTTTTTGTCTTCTCTGCCTTTCTAGGAAGAAACCTGACTGAACCCCTGGAACTCTGGAAGAGTTTCATCAGTTGAAATCTGCCTGCCGGCTCTCAGGAGCTCTCCTGAAGAATCTCACTGTCTGAACCTGCCTGCCCGCCCTCAAGAAGAGGATCGGAGGAAAGACTCTGGATCTGAACACTGATAAGTCTGAAGTCAAGTCCTGCCGGTGCTTAGCCCTCTGCCAACTTCAAGCCTCTGGACCCAACCCGGTTCCCTTCCTCAGCTGCCAAACCTGAATCACGTCACAGGTACAAACCTGCAAAATTCCTCTGGTGAAGATCCACAGCAACCTGGCTAACCTAACTGTCCCTCTTTATAGAGAACCCTGTGCGACCAGTCTCGGATCTGTTTATCTGCATAACTCATATATCTTTGTGTCTATTTTAATAAACAGTCAAACTTTTCTTCTGCCTCCGTTGTGTTCTGCATGTGGGTTAGAAACCTGAATCCCATCATGACATTTAGTAGGGTAGAAATGTGATAAGTGGACATTGTAGAAAGACTCTGTTTGCCTGGTGGCTTGATTCCGTACACATTTTTGCCATGAAAGTGTTTAGAACACTGAAGTTCAATGATGTGGGTGCCAGGACCTAATACTTTCATGAAACATAGTCTACATTGGTAGCTACATTGACTCCAAATAGGAGTTGGCCAAACTTTTAGTCACATACCGAGTCCTTCATGTAGGTTTTCTGAAGCACTGTCCAGATCTCCTCATCTGTATATTGGTCAAAGGGATCTAGGTTGTACCTGCGGGTAAGTATGGAGGGAAAGTTGTGACTGGTCCACAGTGGTTAGAATGAATGTCTTTAAACCCAATGGGAGAGAAAGTGGTACCTGACTGTGCCAGTAAACAGCACAGGGTCCTGAGGGATGATGGAGAGTTTGCTGCGTAGATCCCGCAGACCAATGGCTGCAATATTAACACCATCTATAAAAATGGTTCCCCCTGCTGGCTCCACCAGTCTGAACAGAGCAACGCCTAATGACGATTTCCCTGCGGACGCAAGTCACAGAGTAGGGAGAGCTGAATTCTGCTCTGCAACGACGCACACAGTGCATAAGAAACCATTTAACTCTGGACGACTTACCAGAACCCGTCCTTCCCACTATGCCAAGTTTCTCCCCAGCTCGGATGGGGAAATCAAGTCCGTTCAGGACAATGGGAGTGTTGTCTCTGTACCTCATTTTGTATTCCTGGAAAGTGATTGCTCCATTTTTGGGCCAGCCATCTGGGATCTGAGCTTCCTTTATGTGTCTGGGAGCCTCAGACTTACAGGTCTGTGGATGCAATAAAAACAACAACATCCCTTTAGAGAGAAGCAATACTCAACACCTCAGAGTATGATGAAGGCGTTTCTAACCGTGATGTATTCCAACAGCCGTTCCACTGAATTGAACCTGGCCTCTACTTCAGTTGACTGTCTCACCACATACTGGAGCATGCCTGTTAACTGGTACACAAACGTAACCCAGTGATGCTGCAAGTCTTTGGACTCGAAACTGAGAGAACCTATTGGCTGTCAAGATTTACCTGTATGGTGTAAGACAAGGCCAAGCCCTTTAAAGATTGATTTATGGTGGTATTGCTGCTGAGCACAACAAACAAAGCCACCAGAAGAGTCATGGAAGCAGCCATGAAGTCCAACCAGAAAGAGAGCCACCGTGTGCCAGAGTGAAACAGGACGTAATGATTGGAGTTGATGTCGTTCAGGGATGTGAACCTAGAGTTTACAAAAGAGACACAAGGTTGTTCACTCAAAGGATGATCAAAGATCACATGAGAATACTACATTAAAGTTCACCTGTTACGGGTTTTAGAAGATGTAGATTAAATTCTACTACAATATGATTTATAATTATTTGTGATGAGTGGTTTTTGGCGCCCCTGTGCTGTTGATGAACCAGAGGGGAGGCTAACCAGAGTATTTGTTTTTCCCTACCATTCATTGCAGTAAATCTTTTTTATTTTAAACTGTCTGGCATCCGATCTGTGCATGATGGGATGGCTAATAGAGGAGCTGTTACACACCTACTCCTAAAAGTACTTTTTTTCTAAAAATACCCAAGTACTGTAAATGAAACAGAGTAAATGCAGCTAGTTAAAACCCATCTCTGTTGGAAGAAACTATGAAACACAAACAAGTGCATTTTGTTTGGATTTTAGGTCTGCACATTCAAACTTATTAATATGGCAACACCCTGTGTTGCTAGAAAGGGCGTTACACGGCGTTGAACAGATTATTTTTAGCTTTTGGTAACATTGCAACATTGTACTTCCAATCTTGCAATTGGTGCAATACTTCAGCTTGATCAAACAAAGTGACATCATTAGTGCACCCTCTCTCTGCAATGGGGAGAGAATTTGCTGCATGCAGAGCAGGCAAAGCTGCAGAACGCTGCTGCCCGATTTTCAACCAGCACGTCCAGACGTGAACATATTACTCCTGTGCTGTCGTCACTCCACTGGCTTCCGTTTTAGAAATGGTTTTAAACTTCTGCTATTTGTTTTTAACACCATTCATGGCTTGGCCCCCTCTTACTTGTCTGAGATCTTAACTTTCCGCAATTGTGGCAGAGCTTTGCACTCCTCGGGTCAGCTTCTGTAAGAGGTCCCTAGGTCAAGACTCAAACAGTGGGGCGATCGTTCTTTTGCAGTCGCTGCTTCCAGACTGTGGAGCAAACTACCCCCTGACTTCCTCAGCCTTTAAAAAAAAAAAAAAGCTTAAGACCCACTTTTTTAAATTAGCATTTAATTCTAATACTGTCTCTTAGGTGTTCTCCTTCTTTCTGCTCCTTTCTATGCACCTCTGGAAGGCTTTTAATGTCCTGCAGCGCTGCACCAATACAGCACTTTTAATTGTATCTGTATGTTTCATATGTGTTATGTATTGTTTTATGGCTTTGTTGCAAAGCACTTTGGGTATAATTTGGCTATTGTAAAGGGCTATAAAAATAAAATTGATTGAACTTGATTGAAAAGCAGGGAGCTTAGTTACTCATACATGATGCTGATTGGCTGAAGAGTTGCAATGTGGGCGTCTGTTCAGCATAGCTTGAACACAAGAGAGGCAATGCAGAGTCACTGATTCAATGACAGAGTTCCTAAGGAAAGGCTGACTAAAGTCAAAAGCTACATGTTTCTCTGATTTTGCTGATTTTGAGCAGGAAAAATTACCAAAAATACTTAAATTATAAAAATCTCTAATTTAAAAAAGCTCCTGTGTTTTTTTTTAGTTTTTTTTTAGACAGAATCCCTGGGATTATACAGTCCTACAGGGCTTTTTTTTTCTGGAGCAATGTAAATGCTGTTTAATTCTATTACAAAGTATATTTAATTTTTGTTAAAATGCTATAAAAGCATTATTTTTCTGCTTTCGTCCTACTTTATAGCCACTTGAAATGTTAAAAACTATAAGGTTCTAAAACATCTCATTTGCTTTATTTGTTAATAATAAGCAAAAACCACAATCACATCTATATAATTATACTGCAACTCACGTGTCCCATTACGCACCAAAATGGTACAAATTAGTATTATGAGTTAATTTAAGAAATATCATTGAACTTTCATTTGTATTAAAATTTTTGATGAAAGGAAAGTTACCCAAATTCAAACATTTTTGATCATTAAAGTAAATGCATAGTTACTTTGATCAGAAACTGGTTACTTTGATTGTCTAGTTACTAAGTTACTAACTCAGTCACTGTTTTGGAGAAGTAACTGGTTAATATAACTAGTTACTTTTCTAAGTAACGTTCTGAACACTGGTAACTGAACTGGTAACCTAAACTGTCCCATTTAAACAAAGGCTGTATGTTCAAGGTTGTGCTGCTGGAGGGCATACCTCATTTTTCCTCCCTGCACAATGTTCCACTTTGCATTACTCTAATGTAAAAAATTACACTAGAATACAATAAATGTATTAATAATCAAATAAAATGAAAAGCTGAAAATTTCAAGAGCTACAAACTAAAGTAGTAGATTTCTGTCAGAGACGCATCACATGTGTTTCTGTTTGTGTCTTACAGTTTAATGTGTCTGTCCCTTATGTTGTAGGCATGGATGGTGCTGAGGCCCTGCAGGGTGGAGGTAGTGAGAGAGATGCACGGAGAGCGGCTGATGTTCTCCATCTTCTTCATCTGACGAATGCTTCTCTGAAATATGCTGAAGGAACATGACGACTTGCATTAAATCTGCACAGCCTTCTGATCCTGCACCGACCTGACTGATGAGAACTCACAACAGGATGATGGAGAACAAGGCGCCCATAATGACCACAGCTACCAGCATCGCAGGGAAGACAGAAGCGATGATGACGATGGTGAACGTCACAAGGAGACAAAACTGTAGGAAGGGGTCCATGTGGAGAGGAAGCACAGAGTCCACCTCCTCCTGATCTTTAGCAAATCGGTTAAGAACACGTCCAGTAGGCGTTGTGTCAAAGAAACTCATCGGAGACGCAAGGATCTGGGAAGAAGAAAAGAAGCTTATTGAATTTTGGCGTTGAATTTTATTTTCTGTTTAGTCATTTTTTCACAGTACCTTTCTGAACATGCCGTCATGGAGTTTGCAGGCAGCTCTTAGTGTGACGTGAGTGTAAAAGAAGCACTTGATCACAGCGAGGACCAACGTGACGAGGATCATCACGCCATAAATCATCTGGTAGAAGGCCAGGTTTGGATTTTGGGAGACATCACCTGGATCAGAGGTTAAATTGTGGCCTGTCGAATTCTTTTAAAAGGAAAAAGTAGGATATTAGGAGCCCAGTAATAACTATTTCAACTCCTTCACACTCCTTTTTAAACACAAACACAAAATTATGCATTGAAAAATTATATTGTTGAAGTTTTTTACTTTTTTTTTTTAACAATACTTTATTGTCTTTTAGAAACAAGACAAACAACAACAATTCAGCACAGCCAAGTCTAATACAAAATCTGAAATGTCCAGCAAAACACCTGTACAAAATTTCAAATACACATTAGGGTCAAAACCTATAATCCGTATGATAAGTCGAGGGAAAAAAAGATAAAAACAATCAAACATAATGTTTAAAA